ACGCCCAGAGTGTTCAGAGAGGTTTTCCTTCTACAATTTTGAATTGACAATCATTTATTATTTTTCATTTGTCTTGGTAGCATACTGAGTTATTTGTTTCTGGATGCAAGGATTCAAAAGAAAATATAGGAAGTTCTTTTCATCTGGGCGTGAAGGTAATGTCTTTTTTCCCCTTCGGTTTTGAATGTTTTTTTTTTATTGATACATCGTAGACGTTCAATATTCATCTTCTATCTGACAAATGCTTTAGGAAATGCCTTTTGTATTTGGGGGAAAGCAAATTCATAGTGGGAGGGACGGCTGCGACAGTGACGCTGGTACTCTGTTGGCTGCAAGGAGGTATATCGTCAGCTTTCAACTACTAATGTTTGGAACATTTTATTAGCTATATCGTCAGCTTTCAACTAAAATGGTGCAGGAGCTTGGGAATTCGATGACGGTAATACGCACAAGGGCCAACATGCAACATAACTAAGAAAATATTTTCTCTGCCGAGTTGAACATCGATGGCAACATAGCTGAATCTAACAAGAGCCTAACAACTTTTCCCAGATTTTTTTTTCACAGAATCTTAGAAAATTACTTTGTTAGGACAGAAGTTAGCATACTAAATTCTGCATCACTTGTATCTTGTACAACTACATGACAATCCAATAATAAATCGTTAACAGGCAAGTGTATTATAACTTTTAAGCCTATATTCTGCCTGTTAAATAACATCAATATAATAGTCGGATGTTGAGTCCATATCTTGAAACCAAACAGCTAAATCATTTGGTTTCAATAAGAACAGGTGCCATAAACAGATAAATTAATTAAATATTATATAGCTCTCACTTATTTGTGAATAGACTAAATTCAATTGTAGCTTCCTCGAGTATAATTTGCTTGAAACAGAATTCCGCAATTCATCCAACCGTTCGAAGTGACCTTGTATTATCACTCGTGGGTATCCTTATTTCTTGCTCTATGATTTGTTGTCCAACGTTTCATGTGATAGGCCACCTTCAACTTCAAAGGTTTCTCTTTGCCAAGCCTGTTTTGCAAATGGCAACATCATGTTGGAACGTGAGTTAAATGGAAACCATAAATAATAGTTAAGACTAACCAAACAGACGCCTATTGTTGATGACCCGAGTGAAAGCGCAAGATCAAATACCCTATATTTTTTGTTGCTAGTGATGCAGTTGTTAAGGGAAAGTTATAACTGAGTTGTCAAAATCTATTATTTCTACCCAATCCACTCAAACTTAGTCCACTTCTCCTCATCTCTGACCTTGCATTCTTTTTCTGGGGGATTCTGTATGCACTATCTTTTATTTATTTATTTAAGGTTTTCTATTTGCACTATCTGTTTTCTCTTTATTTATTCACATTCTGAAAATTAGTTTTCATGTAAAAATTATTCAGGAAATTAATTTCCGAAAACTGAAAAAGAGTCGGGTGCTAATAGAGAAAGAAAAAAAAAAAAAAAAAAGATGCCAAAATAATCTCCCTTCGTCGGCACTGAGCAAGGTTTGTTTGGACTTGGGATCATTTTAAGGAGGTGTCATTTTAACACACGTCACAGTCACAGGAAGTGAGTAAAGAATTAGTTTTTTGGCAGGGCACTGAAGAGAAGCCAAACCACTGCTTTAGGTTTTTTTCGTTTTTCAAGTGATGCAACAATCATCCCGTGAGTAGATAACCTTTATACGAAAGAGTTTCAAACTGACCACCTCTGAAGATGCAGAGCACGTACAAATGATAGAACAATTCTGTTTTGATTTTGAACCTTTTTCTTTGTTTTCTACTTCTCAATTCTCAGCTCATTATTATGAATTCAGAAAAGTATCCGTTTCTATTTCAAGCACCAAAGATTGTCTAATCTAACATTGTTAAAGTACACATGTTAGCACAAGACGAATTCTTTACTTTCTGATTATTGAGTTGATTTATAAAATATAAACTCTAGCTGTTACCGTTCTCAATTGTCTTTTCTCTTCCCAATAACACTTCCTGGGTTAGAATACTTCTAGTAATCCCAATTTAATAAGTTTTTACTTATCAAGAAAAAAGAATCGGCCCAAGAAGATAAACATTTATACTGTGTTCAAATACCACCTCTATGTTGCCCATCAACAGACCACCAAGATTTGTTGAGTGATAGATGTTGAAATAGTACGGACAAGGCCTAAATTTAAACTTTGTTTCCGTTATTCTAATTCCTATCTATGAAAAAAAATTGCTGCTCAACGTTGTAGTTTCCGAATCAAGATGTGGAACAACTTTAAATGCTAAAACTACTTTAAAATGACCTGGCATTTAAAATGTGCAAGATATAACTTAAACAACTTTATGTTAAAATGAGTATCCTTACCGAAACAAATAATGTGGTTATAGTGTATATACAATTTTAGCCCCAAAACATAAAGGTATATAATGTGGGTACTTCCTCTTCCCCTTCAAACGGGATCAGTCGTGGGTTTTGGTATTGGGCCCGAGACCTCTACTACCACCGCAAACCCTCAAAGATTCTTAAAATTTTCTTCACTAAATTAATAGCACCGCAAGATTTTCGAACTGAGCCAAGAATTTGAGTCACCAATTTTAAGGACTTGAATGCACTGTTCTGTTAGCTAGATATCACTCGATGATCTAGGCCATTAAGTTTCTTCCAATGGCTGTCTGTACATACCAATTTCACTTACAATATACAAGCTGAAAATTGTTACCTCCAAAAGTTTCTTCCGCTCAACATTTGTGACAATGCATATCTGGGCCATAAATCTTAACTATAACAAAGCTATTTTTCTAGTACTGATTTTAGGGTTATCCTTTCTGCTTCATAGTTATTTTATAATAATAAATTTCGAACTGCACATCAATGCGGAACAATCTCAAACATATATGGCAAAAATATTGTTCGAATTACTATGAAATGCAATATATATATATATAATTCCTTAAAAGAGACAAATATGTATATATAGTTACAATGATGGTAATAAATTTAAATCTAAAACTTTATATATACTTAACCTCTCACCTCTAAATCGACCATAATAGATTAACATAGTTTGAATTTAAAAGTAGGAGTAAATGTTAAAATAAAAAAACATGAGTATAAATAATGAGATTTTGGAAAAGAAAAAGAAGAAAAATTTTAATACAAAAAAGTATAAATAATTAAAGTAAATATTTGATTTATATCAAAGAGATATTAGAATAATTTTATAATAAAATCACTAAGATCTGCCTAATGATAGGAATTAGAGTAATATGTTATATTTTATGTTTAAACTTAGTTTGCTTGATATAATTCCAATGAATAAAAATTGAAGCGTACTAATATATATTTCAAAATTTGATCTAACATTGAAATTTCTATTTATAAATGTAAAACTTGTTTGTTTGTGTGTAATTCATGAGAAGCGAGAGGAACAAATGGCAATGTTAGAGCGATACGTTTCAGAACACAGCTGTAGAATAGAATGTACTCTCGTCTCCACCTATTGTCACTGGACACAAAAGTTAGAGCTAGCGGGTATTACCATGTGATTGCCTTAATTCTTAGTCTTTTGTTACATCTAAATACCTTGGATAATAAGCCGTCCTAGGCCTGCACATTATTCTCAGAAATTACATGTGTATTATTTCATACAACAAATGTAAAAGATTAAAAAGAGAGAGAGAGAGAAAGACAGAGAGAAACTGAGATATTATTCCAATAATTAATATGATTCACAAATGTACGTAAAAAAGAAAAAGTAACGCTAGGAAAATTGTTATATGAATAATACTCCTCAACTATTGCAGGCCAAATACTTGTTTTCCAATTAGTAAACTATGACCAATTGGCCATTGTTAATCACACCCATTGTTTCCCAATATATTTATATATATATGCATGCATGGCACTAGGCCAATTAACCCCAAGTAACGCTACATTTCTTTTGCAAATCAAATTCCTTCCAACGATGGAGAAAGGCAAAGCGATGGAGCTTGCTTTGCTCCTTGCCCTAACTCTCATGCTTAGCGTCAGCCCAACAACTTCAGTGGCCGAAGAGCATGGCAACAACAACAACAACTTACTCACTTACATTGTTCACGTCAAAAAGCCCGAGGGCGCAGTTTTTCTTCAATCACAAGAGTTACACGACTGGTACCACTCGTTCCTTCCAACACCCTCCCACAAGGAACGAGTGCTTTTCTCTTACCGCAACGTGGCTTCTGGATTTGCCGTGAAGCTAACCCCAGAAGAGGCCAAAGCTCTTCAAGACAAGGAGGAGATTGTGTCAGCTCGTCCCGAAAGAACCCTTTCTCTGCACACAACACACACTCCTTCATTCCTTGGTCTTCGACAAGGAGTAGGATTGTGGAATAGCTCCAACCTTGGAAAAGGTGTCATCATTGGAGTTATAGACACAGGTATTTATGGGTTGTTTTCTAATATGTCTTGTTATTGTGATTCACATGATCAGATATCGTGTACTTTGAACTTGGATATTCATAAATTAACTTTTTTTTTTTTTGTGATAACGTATTATGGAGACTTTGTATGTTTATTATTGTTCTAATAATGGAGGACTTGGTTGTGTTCCAACAGGTATATACCCCTTCCATCCATCATTCAACGATGAAGGGATGCCACCTCCTCCAGCGAAGTGGAAAGGACACTGCGAATTCACAGGGGAAAGAACATGCAACAACAAACTCATCGGTGCGAGGAATTTACTCAAAAGCGCCAATGAAGAGCCTCCATTTGAAAACTTCTTCCATGGAACCCACACTGCTGCAGAAGCCGCAGGAAGATTTGTAGCGAACGCTAGCGTTTTCGGCAACGCTCTGGGTACTGCGGCTGGCATGGCACCCGATGCACACGTAGCAATGTACAAAGTGTGCAACGACAAAGTTGGATGCACTGAAAGTGCCATCTTGGCCGCAATGGACATAGCCATTGACGATGGCGTCGATGTTCTTTCTCTCTCCCTTGGTTTAGGCTCTCTCCCGTTCTCCGAAGACCCTATCGCGATTGGCGCGTTCGCTGCCGTTCAGAACGGAGTTTTCGTTAGTTGCTCAGCCGCGAATGCTGGCCCTGACTACAGCACTCTTTCAAACGAAGCACCATGGATCCTCACCGTCGGTGCAAGCACCATTGACAGAAAAATAGTAGCGTCAGCAGTGCTTGGAAACGGTTTAGAATTCGAAGGGGAATCTTTGAACCAACCCAAAGACTTTTCACAAAGTTTGTTGCCACTTGTGTATGCAGGTCAAAACGGAAACAAATCTTCTGCCTTTTGTGCACCAAGATCCTTAAAGAACATTGATGTGAAGGGAAAAGTGGTGGTGTGCGACATAGGTGGAAACATTCCAAGTGTCAGCAAAGCAGAAGAAGTTTTCAACGCTGGTGGTGCAGCCATAATCCTCGCCAACCCTCAATCCTTTGGCTTCAGCACTTTCGCTACTGCTTATGTTTTACCGGCGGTGGAGGTTAGTTACACTGCAGGGCTAGCCATAAAAGCTTACATAAACTCAACCTACTCACCAACCGCAACAATCAAATTCAAAGGAACCGTGATTGGTGATCCACTTGCTCCAGCAGTTGTTTTCTTTTCTTCAAGAGGGCCAAGCCAGGAGAGTCCCGGGATTCTGAAACCCGACATCATTGGACCCGGAGTGAACATCCTAGCTGCATGGGCCCTGTCCGTAGACAACAAAATCCCAGCGTATAACATTGTTTCGGGAACCTCAATGTCTTGTCCACACCTTAGTGGCATTGCTGCATTGCTCAAGAGTGCACACCCTGATTGGTCCCCCGCGGCTATAAAGTCAGCGATCATGACCACTGCCTACACGGTCAACCTTGGAGGTCAACCCATATTGGACCAAAGGCTTCAAATTGCTGACATTTTTGCAACTGGTGCAGGCCATGTTAACCCTAATAAGGCAAATGATCCAGGGCTTGTCTATGACATTCAGCCAGATGATTACATTCCTTATTTGTGTGGTTTGGGTTATGGGGACAGAGAAATTGGAATTCTTGTGCAGAGGAGAGTGAGGTGCTCCGATGTACATGCCATACCGGAAGCGCAACTCAATTACCCTTCGTTTTCTATTCTGTTGGGGTCTACTTCACAGTACTACACCAGAACGTTGACCAATGTTGGACCTGCTGAGTCAACTTACGTCGTGGATCTTGATGTGCCTTTGGCCTTGGGTATGAGCGTGAACCCTAGTCAGATAACATTCACTGAGGTGAACCAGAAGGTTACATTCTCTGTGGAGTTTATCCCACAGATAAAGGAAAATAGAGGCAACAATAGCTTCGCTCAGGGTTCTCTCACCTGGGTTAGGGTGTCTGACAAACACGCTGTTAGGATCCCCATATCTGTTATTTTCAAGTGATGCATGCGCATGAGGGTGAGGTGATGATGCTCAATGCTCAATGCTCAATGCTCATGAAGAAATAAAGAAGGGAATGAAATTAATGTCTGCCAAGACGTACGTTCCCTAGCTATCTAGTACAACTTCATTAATTTGTTAACAAATGATTTTGTTGTGTTAAGATAATCGCACGTGGTTTGAAATGTACCAGCACTTCTTATTTATTTTTTAATATGATGTTTTTTCTATATGATGACCTTATGTATTTTTACGATAGACAGTTTGTGTCTTACCTGATAAAATTATTATGCACGGTGGAATTCTCTCTTCAAAATGTCCTTTGGATCGTGCAGGAATTGTTTTCTAATCCTCAGATCGATCTAATTAATCCAAATGTTTTGTCTTAATCTTTGTGCAGGCTGTTCATAGGTGGAATTCTACTTTGAAATCGCCGGTCGTCTCTAACTAGGACCACAAGTTTAGGTTTTCTTGACCATTAAGTAACCGGCCAATATCGCATTAGCTCTGACAAGTTCGATGCACGAAAATGAAAAAATGTTAAACCACTCATTTTTATTTTTAACATACTCTTTATTACTAACAGTAATTTATTCAAAAAATTACAAATTTTTATATCTCTCACTTATTATTTAATAAATTTCTTTCTTATTAATTTTATAATTTTTAATAAATTTTATTTAATAGTAAAAAATGTGTTAAAAATAATTTGTTTGAGAGAGTTATCACATATCGTAAAGAGAGCTCACTAACAAAAAAAAACCCTTGGCATGAGAAGATCGACGTTGCTTCGTAATCTCGTCATTTCCATTATGAGAAAGAAAGATTTACATGGGACGTGCAAGACAAAGGCAGCAGTTATAAAAGTCCAAGAGTTCATATGTTAATTTTAACACACTAATGAGATAAAAGCATTCGATCTAAACCTCTAATTAAAGAGAGCAAGAAAGAAAGACCAGGACAAAGTTGATATCAACTTACTTAGAATGTATAGGTAACTTATTTATTTTCTTTTTTAATATTTGATAATAAAGAAGAAAAATTGTTGAAATCCTATGCTAGTTAGCATTAATAATAATAATAATAATAATAATTAAAAAAAAAAAGATAATGTTAAAGAGAAAATGTCAAATGTGTCGAATGTTTCTATAGTCAATGCCTGATTTCTCAATAGTCAATACACGTAGTCACTAATTAAGAGTTATCTTCTTGTATTTTTGGATCAACATTGACAAAATTAATTTTAAAAGAAATTAATTTTAAGTGATATAATTTACATTTAGATATTTAATTATAAAATTAGTAAGTTAATAGGAAAATTCAATATGAATTTTTTTATCCAATGAAAAATTAACATTCCGACAAAACCAAACATAATTTTTTTTTTTTACCTAAAATCAAATTAACATTAGTATAATCCAAGAGAATCTAACGTCAAACTAAATATATGCAAATTTTAAATTTAGTGTTAAGCTTAAATCAATCTTCTTCTTAGAATTTAAATTTAAACCTTATAATCTCAATATATGAACATTATTATATATACATTATTTTGACCATATAATACTCAAATAAAAAAAATAGACATTGTAAACTAAGATTAAATATCTACGTATTATCTGGTGATAATATATAAATCCAACAATAATTATTAAGATAAATTTATATATTGTTTTAAAATTTAGTTGCTGGCTTAATTAATTCAATTTTAGAGTTAACTCAAGCGAGAATTATTCTCATTTATAGTCGATTTATAACATCTCTCATCATTCATCAATCACATCGATCCGGTTGTAAAATAGAGCTTACCTGATGCCATTTTTCACATAGTCATGAACTTCAGTGAGTTGTGTCCAATGTCACCCAAATTAGCGACCACGCAAACCAACAACGGGGTAGCGGCCATTTTCGGTTGTTATACCATTGCCTGAAAAGTGAAGAGGAGTAATCATCTTCTCCCAAACATTTTACAATAAGAAGATATAGATAAATAAAAAATTAAGAAAAGAAGTGTGAGATAAAATCAGTGATACAATGAAGAGAGATAGACATTGAATGAGATATATAAAAAATGTTATGAGTAAGTACAGCGAGAATAAAATTATTATTATTTGAATAAAATTGTAACCATAAAACAGACTTCCATTTTTCTAATTTAATTTATCTTTCTGATAATAGATCCCTTAATTTTAAGGCATGTTTTTTATTTGGTGAAATCTTATTATGTTATTACTTATTAGCCTTTGTTGACAAACACAGGATGTTTAAATGCATTATCCAAACATTTAATATCATGTTTTTCTGTTGTTAAAAAAAAAGGTTAAAAAAAAAAGGTTAAAAGAAAGTGTCAAATGTGTAGACCCTGATTTCCCAATGCAAATAATTAATTGCTGTGATCTTCTCTCTCTGACCGGCAGTAGAATAGAGCATAACGTAATAGCAATACTTTTACACCAAGTTCTTTGACTTTGTTTCTAGGCATTTTTTTTAGTGCAAGTTTTGTTTAAGGAGTACCAAAATCTTCTGTGACTAGGACCACATAAATGATGACATGTGTTAATTTTATCAGAACTTATATTTTTTAAGAATATTTTTGTATTTGTTATTTAACCCTCGTTAATTTTTAAACTTTTAAATAATAGCCCCCAGTCTATTAAAATATTCTTTATCTTCTTCGTCTTCCTGCCCTTTCATTTTCATTTTTTCTCTTCTCTCTTCCAAACAGTCCTTATCCAAATGCTTCTTCAGCACCTCAACAACCTTGGTTTGTCTGTTCTTCACTGCCACCAGCAACACGTTTTCGTTGTTGGAGTTGGTTTCGTGCACAGTGCTCGGTATTTTGGCCTAAACCGCGAACACGATCTCCACGATGCCGTTCTTTGTCGCAGCCAGAAACGCAGTTTCCCTTTTTATCCAGTACCAGAGAATGGAAGGTGAGCGGAAAGAGAGAATAACAAAAAATCATAGGTGAAACAGACAGAAGAAGCAAATAGTATTTTTCGTAGGAAGAATGGTTTGTCCAGCAGTGAAGGAGAGAATGGGAGGTGTTTGCCAGAGATGCGCCACAGAGAAAAGGAAAAATGAAAATGAAAGAGCAGAGAGATAAAGAAGATAAAATATATTTAAATAAGCTAAGGACTATTATTTAAAAGGTTAAAAATTAACGAGGGTTAAATAGTAAATATAAAAATATTCTTAAAAAATATAAGTTCCGACAAAATTAACACATGTTATCGTTTATGTGGTCCTAGTCACAAAGAATTTTAGTACCCCTGAACAAAACTTGCACTAAAGGAAATGCATTGTTTCTAATGTCACCTAGATTGGAGACCAGACAAACCAATAGCGGATGGCGGGTATCACCATGCAACTGCCTTAATTTACGTGATAATTTCTCACCTTGATATTTTCTAACCAGCTAGTCACTAGCTGCATATGTGTATATACACCATGGCAATGGCATATGCTCGAGGAAAGCCTACCTTAACATTCCTTATAGCCATCGTTAACACCCATGTACTTCATAGTATATATAACCACATGGATAACCCAGTTACTAGCAATCCAAGAACCACCAATTTTCTGATTCTTAATTCCCCATCATGACCATAACCAACCAAGTATTACTTGCATTGCCTCTTGCTCTTGCTCTTGTTTTCGTCTCAATTAGTGTATGTCCAACTTCAGCACACCAAAATCCAGAATTTGTGAAAGCAAATGATGAACATTATTTGCCAACAGAGAAACTCGATGCTGAAAGCAACTTATTGACTTATATTGTTCGTGTTAAAAAGCCTCAGGATGATGATGCTCTTCAGTCCAAGGACCTGCAAAGTTGGTACCGTTCCCTTCTGCCAGCTAGTGCAAAAACTGAGAACCAGCAACGCATCACTTTCTCATACCGCAACGTGGTGGATGGATTTGCCGTGAAATTGACCCCAGAAGAAGCCAAAGCTCTTCAAGAGAAAGAGGAGGTTGTGTCAGCCCGTCCTGAAAGGACCTTTTCCTTGCACATTACTCACACTCCAAGCTTCTTGGGGTTGCAACAGGGACTAGGATTATGGTCCAACTCCAATTTTGGCAAAGGCATCATAATTGGAATTCTTGATACAGGAATAACGCCTGACCACCCTTCTTTTTCTGATGAAGGAATGCCATTTCCACCAGCAAAGTGGAATGGCCACTGTGAATTCTCAGGCCGGAAGATTTGCAACAACAAGCTCATTGGTGCAAGAAACTTTGTCAAAAACCCTAATTTAACCCTTCCACTGGATGATGTTGGTCATGGGACCCACACAGCAAGCACAGCAGCTGGAAGATCTGTCCAAGGTGCCAATGTCTATGGCAATGCTAAGGGTACAGCAGTTGGCATGGCACCGGATGCACACTTGGCAATTTACAAGGTATTGATGGGTTGTTTTGTATTAATTTGATATCTTGTTGTCTATCAAATATTCGCACAAATCTCTATATCGATATAATATTATTCTTTTGAACTTTTAAATTATAATAGATTTATTTTTAGTTATCATTAAAAATATTTCATAAGATGAACACTTTATGTGCTAAGCGTGTGGTTCAGCGGCAGGAGTTGATCCACGTTTAAGCAAGGTCAGGCGTTTGAATCTTGCCTTGTGTATGCAGCCACGTTAAATCTTAGAGTCAGCTATCAGTCCTGCATACTCCAGGGTCGAAAAAAAAAACACTTTTTATGTATTTATAAATTCATATTTATTCTTATATTATAGTAATGTAGCACATATATTTATTCTCTTATTCTAAATGTGAGACTTATGTTTATCCTTATCCTCTTATTCTAATAATATAGGAATTTGTTTGTATCAACAGGTCTGTAACCTCTTTGGTTGTTCTGAAGGTGCAATACTAGCTGCAATGGACACTGCCATTGATGATGGCGTGGATGTACTTTCTCTCTCCCTTGGGGGACCCTCTGCTCCTTTCTTTGACGACCCTATTGCACTTGGTGCATTCAGTGCAATTCAGAAGGGAATCTTCGTTAGTTGTTCAGCTGCTAACGGCGGTCCAGGTTATTATACTTTGTCTAACGAGGCTCCATGGATTCTCACCGTTGGTGCCAGCACCATTGACAGAAGAATTGTAGCAACGGCAAAACTTGGCAACGGGGAAGTGTTTAACGGGGAATCAGTGTATCAACCCAACAACTTCACGTCCACCTTACTCCCTCTTGTGTATGCAGGTGCAAATGGAAACGAGTCATCTAAATTTTGTGCCCTAGGATCCTTAGAGAACGTGGATGTGAAGGGAAAGGTAGTGTTGTGTGAGGTAGGTGGATTTGTTAGAAGAATAGACAAAGGACAAGAAGTTAAGAACGCTGGTGGTGCAGCCATGATCCTTATGAACTCACAAATTGAAGAGTTCAATCCCACTGCTGATGTTCACGTTCTCCCTGCTACACACGTGAGCTACGTTGCTGGGTTAGGCATAAAATATTACATAAACTCAACATCAACACCAACAGCAACAATTTTGTTCCGTGGAACAGTTATTGGGAATCCTCTTGCACCCGCAGTTACTTCCTTTTCCTCAAGAGGTCCAAGTTTTGCAAGCCCGGGAATTCTGAAGCCAGACATCATAGGACCAGGACAGAACATTCTAGCTGCATGGCCTGTGTCTTTGGACAACAATGTTCCTCCATTCAACCTAATCTCAGGCACCTCAATGTCATGCCCTCATCTAAGTGGCATTGCAGCTTTGCTTAAAAACTCTCATCCAGATTGGTCTCCTGCTGCAATAAAATCAGCAATCATGACCACTGCTAACACAGTGAATCTTGGAGGCAAACCCATATTGGACCAAAGGCTTCTAACTGCTGACATATTTGCCACAGGTGCTGGACATGTTAACCCTTTGAAGGCCAATGATCCAGGGCTTGTTTATGATATTCAACCAAATGATTACATTCCCTATTTGTGTGGTTTGAACTACACTGACAAAGAAGTTGGACTGATTTTGAACCAGAAGGTGAAATGCTCGGAGGTAAAAAGCATAAAGCAAGCGCAACTCAACTATCCCTCGTTTTCTATTCTGTTGGGATCAACTTCACTGTTCTACACGAGAACGCTCACAAATGTTGGACCTGCCAACATAACCTACTCTGTGGAAGTTAATGCTCCTTTGGCAGTGGGAATGAGCATAAGCCCTAGTCACATAACATTCACGGAGGTGAAGCAGAAGGTTACATACGCGGTTGGATTTTACCCTGAAGACAAAAAGAATAGAGGGAATAACTCGTTTGCTCAGGGGTCTATCAGGTGGGTATCTAGCAATTACTCTGTTAGCATCCCTATAGCTGTCATCTTCAAGTGAAATTTTGGACAAGTTAGAGCATCATGTTATTTTGTATTAAAGGAATAAAGATTAGAATCATAACTCTCCAAAGATGCAGTGCAATAGCATCTGAGAGCTTATTTCACTTTGTTAAATGTTGATTTCAACTGTAACTCTTTTAATAATATGAAATTATTGGTTATGGGATTCATTGGTATTCTCCTTATAGTGTTTATGTTAAATTAGTTAAGAGAAATGCGACTGTGTGTAGAACCAATCAAGTCTTATTTTGTTCAACCAAGTTCAAAAGGGGTTTTTCTGTTAGATAAATAAGTTTTGGTCTTACTGCAGCACACCAAAGCCGAAACAACGAAGTCTATTGTTGGAATAAAAGAATATTAGGGGATGAAATGTTTGAATTTTTTTATGTGTTTAAAATGTCAACCGATTGGAATTGTGTCTTGCTGCAGGGAAAGTGGAGAATGGGGTTAGCAGTGGTTGGCGATCCTGATTTTGCCTCTTCCTTTCGGTGACGGTTATTCAATTCCAAACAGACTTTAAGAAGATCCAGACTTCTTCTCCAGAGGGAATGCATGAAGTAGAAAAGAAAATGAACTACGCGGTAGACTATTTTCTTAATATTTTGCTTTTGGAACTGCACATAATTGGTGATTTGATGAATATTGTGCTTGATTAATGCTTGAAAATTAATGGGTTTTGTTCTTCCGCTGTTTAAATTTTTGGATTTTGAAATTTCAATCTCAAAAGACTTCCTTTTCTTTTTCTTCTTTTATTGTTTTAATCCAAGGAAGGTGTAATAAGGAGGATATATATTCCAGGGCAAGGGAAGTAGAAGGCATGCGGCTGTTTAATGTAAAATTACGTTTTTTAATCAATAACTATGTGTTGTTTATCATTATTTTTCTTTTTTTTAGGTATTAAAGATTTAAAAATAGTGCATCCTAAATCTTTTATATTTTTCTAGTACGTTTTCTCTTTCATATTTATCGACCATTAATTTTTTTATGACGTCTGATAAAGAACTCTCTTACTGTAAGTTTTAAAACAGTTATGTTATGTTTTAGCAGAGAATATCATTTTTCGCTATTATGTTTTTGTGTTTCAGAAAGATTCAACACGCGAAAAAGTAATAGAATTTTTTTATTATTTTCTTAGTATTTATTTGTTGATAAGTTTTTTATCGGTTAATAGTTCTTTGGATTATGTGGTCAAACACTGGTATTTTTCATGGTGTTTACCTGCCTGTATGCAATGTAAAAAGACCTCCCTACAACTATTATAAAAATAGCTATACATACCGTTCACAAGTGATATTATTTTCTTAAATGAAGTTGATGGATTTTGGTAAGTTAAGGTTAAACTAACATGGATATATCCTTTAGTACAACAGGATATAAATATAATTAACTTCCTCGTTTATGAAAAGGATTTTTTTTTTTTTTTTGTAAGATAGGGGGTTAAAGCCCAATCAAATAATCAATAAATTAAAAGAAAAATAGAATTATCTGCTAATAACAAGTAATAAATAAAAGACGGAAGAGACTCGTAAATAAAAAAGTCTTCCTCTCTAAAACCATCCTGCGCTTAGCAAGAATGTCCGCAACTAAATTAATTTCTCTTAAAATATGGTAACATGAAAGCAAGGAGAATTGATTACTCAGCTCTCTTATCTCTTGAACAAGGTCAAAATATGGGTGAGAACCAAAGCAACCTTCATTAACAAGCCTCACTGCAGTGGAAGAATACGACTCAATTATCAACAGCCAACCCAAATTCCTATTAACTAGAATGCGCAATCCATGTAGAATGGCCCATAGTTCCGATTTAAAGTTCTGTATTCTTCTTGCATTATCAAACTTGTGTATTTTAATGACCAATTTTCTTAAAAGTTGGGGCTTTTGTGATTGCTACCACTATCTCTATTATTAATCAAGTCTGTATTTTACTGTCACTTGATTATATGTTGCAATATTTTGTAGGCACTAAATAACATGAAGATTATTTATGCAGATCTTGGTAAGTTTGGTCTTGCAAAAACATGCTACAAGAATGTCGTTCCAATTAGGTACACGAGCTCATCAAGGTCTTGCATGGTTTGCTACAAAAATGCCCTTCCAATCAACAAAAAGATATGATAATTAAGCATATGAAATTTTGCAACATATTCCAAAACATTGGTTGTAGCATAGAAAGGATTTGAGGGAAAGAATTAGTTGAGAGAAACAATCATTTATTATTTGAGAAAAATTATTTCAGAGTGGTGCAATCATTTAGTATTTGACAAAAATTATTTCAGAGTAATGTAATTTGCCATACATTTTATGATAGAGACAACAGTAAAGAAACAAGAGTAGCATTGTAAATTGGGAGAAACAATTTAATCAATTATTTTTCTTTACAAATCTATTTTCATTGTTAATTAAATTTAAAAATATCTTTTTAAGCAAAACCTTTTTCTTGTTTAGTCTAAGTTTCAAATTCATTCTTTTGAGAAAAACTAACTTTTAAAATTACTCAATATTTATATATATTTTTACTTTAACACAAATATATTTGATTTGGTTATCAATCTCAAATAACAAAAATATATTTAGTGAAAACTTTATTTTGTATTGATCGATTCAATTCCAATATAATAAAGTATAATTGAAATTCAACTGATATCTAATTTTTATTAAAATTATATTTGCTCAATATAATTTTCATATTATTTATTAATAATTTTGTATGTTCCCGTGCAACGTTGTAAAAATGGGTATATTAATCTTCAAAAATATATTAAATAACAATTATATAATATACATTGATTTTAAAAGATATACATAAATTAGAATTTATATTACTACTGACAGGGACGAGTATTACTTAATATTGTTTGCAAAGATAATCATGTAAAAGATTTATAATCAATCTACAATTTTATGACAACAAAGTACATATTTATAATGTTATTTTTTTAAAATATATAATAATTTTTTATTCACCTGATTTAAATATATTTTTGAGATAAAAGGTTGATTTACTTATCTTTTCAATATCATACAATAAAGTATAATCAATTAAAATATTTTTATAAATTATTAATATAATATTTATTTGACATTTTAATATTTATTAATAAATAATGTATAATATCCCATGCATTACACGGGTGGGTGTAAAATCTAGTATTATATACACACAAGGTGTGTTTTGATCAAATCTAATCTAAATTTTGTACAATTGATAAACAAGCCTCAAACTAACCTCGGTTTGAATCGCATTAATACGAGGCTCAATATCAAGTCCTAATTTTAGGCAAATTACAATTAACTTCCATTTTGTATTTGCTTTTGAAAAGCAGGAAAAGGTCCTCCTTCCAGATGACAACACCACAACCCATGTGCAAAATTTAGCTGACGAAAAGTTAATGTGTTTCCATATTGGAGGAGCAGTTATATCCATGGCAAAGATGACTGATGTATCCTCCCATGAGAGTTGCTCCTGTCTCTATCAACCTCGTCTTCTAAATTCCTGCAAAATACAAACTAGCCATGAAACCATTGAATTGACTACGTATGATTTGGAATTTGGCAACAGGAAAGATATTCACCTATCATCCTCATGTGAATTACTTCTCGACGATTCTAGTTGTTTCCTAGATGGTTTAGTTGCCTGAAAGAATTTTGAGGGCTTGGTTATGGTTCCCTTTGACTGTGATGGATACATGTCTAGATAAAGAAACACGAAAATTGCAAAATGATAATGATTTAAATACTAACACTGATGCGTAACTGTTTCCTGCATCTGCTATGGACCTCCAGGTATTCTTCATAGGACTGCAACCAACACAGCACACAATCAAAATTAGCAGAAGAAACTTGCATTAAGAAACGAATGATATACCAATTATATAAATAAGCATGCACAGCTCAAACAACAAAAACCCTTTCAATGGGAAGCCTCAGGAAACAAATTTTGATCAATAGCTCCAAGACCTAAATCTATCTGGGAACTCAATTCTTTCCCAGTAATGGTACAGCAGGAGCCTTCCAACTCTTCTTTGGGATGTAGGAACAAGGGAGTGAAGAATTTGAAGGGCATCAACACAAAAATGATTCCTATACTTAAAGAAATTAAAACTGGAAAATCTCATTTCTAGAGCATCAATTAAACAAAAGACAGAGACACCAAAATTCCAATAAGCAAGTACATTGAGGGTTGCAGGATGGATAAAAAGTGGAGATTGGAGAACTTGCTAGCTCCACCTTCACGTGCTTTTCAGCTGCCCAGTGATATAATCCAAATGACAAGTTGATACAACCTATGCTGTCTAACCAGATCTGATCAGTGTGCTCAAAAAGCGGTATTAGAAAAAAATCATTTATTGTGATTATAATGAAAGAGCAAAGCCTTATTAATATGATTTAATTTTTTTTTCTTAAAATTTTTCATAAATCAGGAGGCTGCTTAAATAGCGATTCTATATTTCATTCTAGACATTAGTGGGAGATTCTTCCAGTTTAAGAACAGGTGCAATCAAAATAAAGTATCTCTTTTCAGAAAAAAAAAAATCTTCAAATATTATTGGCTTTGACTTCGCCAAATCAATATGCTTGCAGAAAATCCCTAAGGAAGATTCTTAAGGGCAGCTAAACAACATTTATAAATAAAAAAAAGGACAACAAAACAAAATAACTGCTTAGAGGAGAAAAGATAAATTCCCAGTACCATATCAAGAAAATCATCCTCGCTTAGGGTACTAGCTAAAGGGCTCCACGAAGATAGACCCCATAAATCAAATTGAGAAGCCTCATCCTTACTCATTTGTCGTTTTGGAATATGCTCACTAAAATGAGAACGTTTAACCCCCGACACTTGTGATGACTCAGAAGTGGTTGGCAATATTTCAGTGAACATTGACCCACTGAATCTCTGGTGTACTGAATGAGATTTATTTACTTCAGGCTGATTTTGGTAGAACGCGGAAGAATAAGGCAGGGGCATTGACCATGACAAATGCAGTGGAGGAAAGTTACAGTCTTCATCTCCTGTTGAACTTGGAGTATTTGCATAATACCCCTTCAAAGAAAATTCGTCCCTTGATGAACTACACATGCAAAAACCAATAAGCAGCAAGGCTTCTCTAAACGCAGATGAAAACACAATATTTTTACCTCTACAAAATTTACCTGGTCACCAGGCCATCCATATCATTCTTACCATCAAGGAGTTCACAAAGTGCTAGACCAATGTCTGGAGATAACTCCTAGAAAAAGCACTTGACTCAGAGTCAAATAATATACGTACAAATTTCAAAGGTACAAAAGGGAAAAATGAAAGAAAACCTGGCAATCTCTGCTAATTTTGACAGGCTTGTAGTCATTCAATGGATTCTTGAGATGTAGAGTCTTGTGGAAAGGTAAATCATTCAAACACAGCCATTTGACCTTAAAACTTCGACCCCATGGATTACTTTTGCCAGTTCCCTCACTCCAAACATTGTCTCTGCCCCTTCCAATGGAGGACATCATTTGTGCATACCCTTGGAAGGAACCACTCATGTTGACACTAAATATGAGGATTACAGTGCCTGAATTCTGCAAAATATGCAAATAATCCTCAAAGTAGTTATCTTCGTCTTATTGTAATTCATTTACTAATACTAGACAGACCCTAAAGTATAGAACAATTTCAACAATATGATTTGAAATCAAAAAAGGAAGTTTCTTACATGAAAAGCTTCTTCTAGAACCCGTTCATTCATGATTTGAGTAGCCCAAATTCCTTTCTCAATTGACAAACGGATGTTTTGATGATTCAAACTCTTGATAATAAAATATTTAATATTGTGCCATTTTTCCACTCCAATTCCTGTTGGGTGCCCAATCTTCCCATGAGAGTGGCCCACTGTATGTGTCCTAGTTTGATTAATGTTTTCATTGAATTTGTATCCAGAGCTCTCTAACAAAAGGATCAAAGAAAAATCAGAACTCAAAATAGAAGAAAGAAAATAATGCAAAGGAAAAAAAAAACTCACATGCACGTATTTGTGTTAATAAATAGAGACATACATGCATCTATGAAATGTTTTTTAGCGAATTATAAACTCGCTATTCCACTCATCACTACCCATGCCAAAGTCAATGATCATCTGGACACTGCAAGAAAATTTTGCTAACTAAGGGTATGTTTGGATTTGTGAGATTTGATGGATTGAAAATGTGGTTCAACATTGGAAGTTCAAGAAAACAGTAGAAAGGAGAGAGTGGGCAGAGGGGGGTGCATTACTCTTTTTTGTGTCCATTATTTTGTTTTATTACTCAAGATGATTTGAAATATTAAATTTATAACCTTTATAATTCCATATCTTCCCCCACAATGTAAGTTACTTAATTCACATGATAGCATATGACAAGAGAAACATTATGAAAACCTGGATCATCTGAATTTCCAATGTCATGCCTCCATTCAGAGACTGATGAATCAACTACTGATGCATTTTCCTTTGCACTATCAGAAGACATATCCGAAAAAATCTGTCATACAATAATGAAAGTAAAAATCAGAGTGCATAACAGACATTACATTACAACGATCCAATACCTGGAAAAATGAAGAGAACAGTAAAAACTAAAAAGTAAACACGACTATGCAGAAAAAATGGATTGCAACACCAATTTTGATAAATAATTGGGCTGCTAAACTTAGTAACATGGTTTCGAAAAAATAAAGCAGATAACCCAGATGCGTTCCTTTCAGCATATTCATTCATATGAAATATTAAAACTATCATTCTGCTTCTGCCCATCTCATGGCAAAATCAGCAGCCTTAACAACCACTAGGGTTATGTACTTATGTTTGTTGCCCGGTTAAAATTTGGGGGGAAAGTTTTATGTATTAATTTTACTAAGAAACTTGATCTTTAATCTTCATCCTAAGTTGCCAAAACAACCACACACCTGCTCTTAGGTATTAAAAGAATTCATTAGAGTATCAATTAGAAAAGTTGAAGCAAATACAAGCAACATATCCCTGAGTCCTAAGTACGGCATGATTGATGATGAAGTAACGTGCAATGTGAAGTAGAAGAAGAATAAAAGGTAGCATTAACAATTTAACCTAGCGTAGCCCTAAAACAGCGAAACGGTAGCAAAGCTAACAATATGTGCAATGCTTAAAGTGAAAGCAGAGGTACTGAATCCGTCACATTCCGTTTGGGTATAAAGCGGAAAATATATGGATTCCAAGTTAGAAGAGACTCACGAAGTAGAAGAGCGGAGTGTGGCGTCGGAACGGAACAGTCGCTGGTAGCTGCCGCGTTGCCTGCTTTCTATCTATCCTTATCGTTATTGCTCATCTTCGACTCACTGCATTTCTTCTTTGCCTTTCCTTTTTTCCAAGTGTTTATTCTCACTTTTCTATTTTCTCTCTCTTCATTAAATCTTTTTTATCCATTTATATTAGTATTCTCTCTTCTTTAAACTTTTTTTATCCATTTATTATTAATTAAATAAGTGTATTGTATTTAAAATAATCTCCAATATATTAAATGTAGACAATTATATTATGTCAAAAAAAAATTAAAAGACTTTTTTTCAATAGGAACGGTTTTTTAATTTTTTTAACTTTTTAATCGATTCAAAAATTTTATTTCTGACATTTATTTATGAATTAAAAATTTAATATTTAAAAAAATTATTAATGATTAAAAATAGACTTATATATAATATAAATTATTTATCTTAAATAAAAATATAATTTATATGTGATTATGGAAAGGTAACATAATTCTTTTATTCTATATCAAAAATATAATTTAAGATGAAAATCTTTCTTTAAGTAGTTCAAATTAAGATTTCGAAATCAAAAAAAAAAATTAAGATTTAGGGTTCGATCACACCTAAGGAATAGAATCAAAACAAGAGGTATCATTTTATCTTTATAAGGGTTGATCTAATAGGGAAATGTTATATCTTTTTCAAAAATTATTTATACAAATTTTAAATATAATTTAGGATTAAATATATTTTTTATCCTCTAAAAATTAATTTTATTTGGTTTTAGTCCCTAAAAAAATATTGATTTTAGTCCTCCAAATTTAGGAAACACCTATTTTTAAATTTTTTTCTAAATATAGTTAACTTTTTTGTTAAAATAGGCCACCTCAACACCCAAATCATCATAAGTTTTATTGATATATTTTTTTTAATTTAAAATATTAATTATTTTAAGATTAAGTTAAGATTTAAGGTAAAAACAAATTTTATACTTAAAATTTGTTACTATTCACCCTTGGACCAAAATATAAAAGTTTTAGAAGTACTCTATTTTATTTTTTATTTTTCTATTTTGCTTTCACCCTCAGCAAAGGAAGTCAAGAGCCTCTTACTTTTGAAAGGCATAAGAATGAGCATTATTTAGAGTAATTAGCGTGTTAAGAATTTTGAGAGTCGCTTAGTATGAAATGGTATCGTCTAAAAGTAGGGCATTTGGAGTTTAAAGGGTTGTAACAGATGCATAAAACTAAACGCTTATGAACACGATGATGAGGGTAGAGAAAAAAAAACTTATTTGAGTTTATGAGAATATTTTATTAGAGCTTGTAGGAGACTTTGTTCAAGTAAAAAATGAATTATTGAAACCTTTATATATGTGTTTTGAATAGTGAAAATTTTAAAATGTAAAATTACTTTTTGTACTAAATCTTAACTTAATCCTAAAATAAATAATATTTTAAATTAAAAATATTTCATGTCAATAAAATTAATAATAATTTGAGTGTTAAGGTGACCTATTTGAATATCAAAAAGTTAACGGTGTTTAAAAAATGATTAAAAATAGGTATTGTATAAATTTGGATGACTAAAATAAAAAAATATATATTTAGGGACTAAAATCAAATAGAGTCAATTTTTTGAGTATCAAAAAAATATTTAATCCTATAATTTATATGTTCAAATATCTTAATTATAAGACCTGTACAACTAATTACATCATTTAAGAAAGTTAGTAATTTTAGTTACAAGCATTAAATTTATCAATAATTTAAATTATTTTTTCAAAATTATCCTTAACATCTCTTAAATTATCTCTTCCATCATTTCACACCTAATAATTAATGTTTAAAAGTGATATCTACCTTTCTATTTATCTTCTCCAATCTTAATAAGAGAGAAAGAAAGTTTTTATCCAATTAATTTCAAGCATTTGTTATCTTTTGTCTAAAAAAATTATTGATTAAATAAAATTCTTATAAAATATATATAATTAATGCAATTGTCAATTACAAGAGGGATTTATAAAAATGGATAAAGACTTTATTTGAAAGAGTTTATAGATAACTTATTTGTATTTATATGATATTATCACATAAGTGTTTGAAAAAAGATATAAAATATTTTATGAGTAACTTATAAAATATTTTGAACTTATTTTAATAAACCGTTAAATATAACTTATTACTAACTTATGTGAAATCTTATTGAAAAATATTCATGTTTGAAGCATGTTATGAGTATAATTTTTTTAAAATTTTTTAATTTAAAAAATTCTATAATTTTTTTATTATTCTTTTTAGAAATTTTCATTTCTCCTTTCCAAAATTTTTGTTCCTCCTTATTTGTTTTTCTTTTTCTCTCTGATTTTTTTTTTCTATTTCCCTCAAAATCCAAAATACTATATTTCTACATTTTATTTTAATAATCGTTATATTTATTTAAATATGCATGTAGGAGAGTGTCATATAAAAAAAAATATTATGATAGATCTATATATAATTAAAAAAAAACACAGAAAAATGAGGAAATAAAATGAGGAAATAAAATATAATAAAAACATGTATAAATGAATAAATAAATATAAAAATAACATAAAGGTTTAAAACAAATAAACATAAAAAAATAAAAATAATAATATACATAAATACAAAAAATAAAAGTGACCTGAAATATCACAACAAAAGGAATATAGAAGAAAATAATAGATTCCGATGTGTGGAATAGGGTGGGTGGGGTAGCATTATTCTTCTTCATTTTTTTTAAACAAAAACATACATTTTTTTTTTAAGATATAACGAGATATATGTTTTTTTTTTAAATATGTTTATTTAAAAAAACTTCATTGAGACGGGTTTTATTTTCTTAATTTGAATTTTCATGATTCCTATTGCTATAAATTGAATGTCTACTCCCATTAATCGTTTTTTTACTAATGGAAAATTTAATATGATTATCTTTACTTGATTTTTTTTTAAATATATTTTTTTTTATTTAAAAAGTCTCGAATTTTTTTTTCTTAATTTCACGTGAATAATTCACCTTTTGCAATTACCTAATGCTGTTATCGTTCTGAAATTCTTTTATATTATTATAAAGTGATTTACGATTTTAATTTTTCCATGAAAATTCTTTTATATTGAATATAAAATAAATTATAACATTTTCTTTTGTCCTGTATATAATAAGGAGCAGACCTACATTATAATAAAAGTATACAAATACACTCCCCTTACTTTAATTAAATTATTAATATATGTTTAAAGATATTATATTTTATATTTGTTAATTTTATATATTGAATTTACTAATAATTATTTTGGATATTTATATTTTTGTTATATATATATATATATGATGGTAGTTATTAGTTTTGATTTAAAAAAAAATTAGCCCGAGTGACCTAGAGCTATGAGCTATCGGATCCGTGAAGAGCAGGGACATTTGCATGTGACTATAGGAGTTCGTTCGTACTTAGTAGAACGGTGGTTCTTCTACCGGTCAACACAAGATGCACTTTCCATTTAATGGTGAAGTAATTTTCTAAAGCATATTTTATAATACAAAATAAAATATTTTCAAGGGTTGAGATTCGTAACGAAAATGGGCTACAACTTAATGGATAAGCATGATGATTGTGTGGAGTGAATTAACAGATGAGAGTCCATCCAATTGTTTTAAACTTTTAGTTGCTTCATTTCTTTACTCACCCCACATACTATGGACCATGTCACTCTATATATGTACATGCTATAATAATAACAATACTAATATTAAAACTGAAGACATTATTTATATTATTAAAAAATTTCATCGTGACACTTATCTTAACAAGATTTTATATTTTTTTATTAATAAAATAGTTAAGAGAATATGACATTAAAACAATCATCATACATTATAAAACGTGCAATAAAACTTAAAACATATATTCATATTCATCATACAACATCACCAAAACCTCAACTTATCATATAGGCCTCCCGCGCCTAGCACAACATGCTTCTCGTCCGACACTATCAAGACAAGGAGTTCTTTATCTCGTTCACGTTCGACGCCATCTAAACCATGCCCAGCATGACTGAGATGGAGATCCTCTAGAATCTCACACTTGGTGTGACAAAATTCATGTCCGGCCTTATATCGGGCAAAAAGTTTCTGCCTAACTCATGTCCAACGTCACCTCAGTGACGTTTGACGTCATCAAGTCAAAGACTTTCCTCTACTCTCATGCACGACACCATTTGAACCACACTTGGCATCATCCTAGCCCAAGACGAATCTTTCTTCTCACATTTGGTGCCATTGATCATGCGCTTGACATGATCGAGACAGAGTTCTTTGGTTGGAACTGTGACTAGCCCCACAAAGGCACGATTGACGTTGTATCAAAAATTTGCACTTGTAGATCATGAAAATTGCCTCCAAGACCTAAAATACAAACAATCCAAGCATGCAAATAATTATACCATACATTTACAACACCCACAACTTGGTTTTGGCATCAAAAACCACATGCAACCACCAATTAAGTGAACCACCCAATTCCACCTCCATGAACTCAAAACGCTAAGAATCCACACACATCAACCCCCACCTTAGATTTTGTCAAACAGTCAAGAATTCAAAGCAATTCTAGGTACATACAACTCAACAACTAGCAAGAATCGAGTCTAGCTCCCTTTATCTCAATCCTCAAGAAACCAAGAAAGAAAAGGAAAAGAAAGGAGAACTCTAAGCTTTCAAGCTCCATACCGCTTCAACCTTCTGATTTTTCACTTAAGCTTCGAGTTCGACACTTAGCTACAAATCTCACACTCCAAAGGAACCTAAAAGGAAGAAGGGAAGAAGAATCAAAACTTATCTCTCTAAATCTCTTTCTAAGGTTTGTGAAGAACAAGAGATTATAAGTTTTGTTTAAACTAAAAACCTTATATATTTTTCTTCTCAGAATCAGCTAAACCTCTAGTCAGAGACCCTCACCATTTATTTAAGCACAGTGTTACAAATCCTTTTACTCATACTTTGGTAGAGAAACTGTAAAAAAATATTGTTGCATAAAATCTATTTATTGGTGTTAATGAAAACATTACATTAAACCTAACTAATATTGTATAATTATCTCAATTTATCACTTTCAGATATATTATTAGTGATCTAAGAGACTAAAACAAATTTTAAAAATTACATAATCTAAAAACAATTATTTTAAATTTAAAAAATCAAAAATAAATCTACTTTAAATTTAACACACTAAAAACATCATTTTATTATTAAAACCACAAGAATTTAATGAATAAGACTCGTACGCAATTAAGTGCGATGCCATTCTCAGTCTACTCAAGCAAGCGATTGAATGAGGCAGTACTTGATTAGCTTCCTCATCCTTTTTGAAGAGTTCGTGGTTAATTAACTTAGCCAACATACTAGGATCATGATCGGCCAACAACACTACTACTTAATTTTTTTTTGATAATGAACAGCACTACTACTAATCTTGGCCTACCTTTGTTTTGGTCAATAATCTTGACTACTATTCTTGACCTACAAATCATGACATTTTTAGTACAAGCTATTCTTTTTATTAATTTAATGTTTCCGTAAATTTCAAGACAAACCCAATTTTCATGATTTTAATTTTATTTTCGTTCATACCTCCGCTTCCCATTTAGAGAGATTTTTTCTTAGTTTAAACTTTAAAATAAAGGTGTGAAAAGGAGATTTTCACTCGTGAACTAATTTAACCCACCTTGAAAATAAATTTTGTTAGATAAAAAAAATTAAAGAAATTTATAATGAGTTATAAAATCTAACTTGACCCATTTTCGATTTAATCCATTTGAAATAAATATGTGATAGACTGGGCTGTCCACCTAGCTCACTTACACTTTCATCAGTTTAACTCACCAATAATCTACATAACCATTTGTTATTATATTTGTATTATTTTAATAAGGTATCATTTTTTTGTAGAAGAAAATAAAGTTAATGCTAAATAACATGAAATTACTATAAATTTATCTGCTCAAAATTTCAATAAAGTTTAATATTGATAAACAACCATTTCAATGATAATAATTTTTATCTTTTTATTTTAATTATTTAAAGGTGTACACTTCTTTAATTAAATTTAATATGAGTTAATCATTTATACACTGCTAGTGTAAAGTTTTTTTACACCGGTTTACACCGGCAACCAATAATATCTGTTAAAAATGCCTTTTTTATTTTAATTTAATTAAATGAACAAATGACATGACATTATTAACAGATCTGATTGATTGTCAGTATAAAAAAACTTTACACTGACAGTGTATAGGTGATTAACTCATTTAATATTATGTGTATGATGTTTAGGTTGACAATTTTTATTTTAGATTGGAGATTATTTTATATTGAAGTTTATTTTAAATTGATTTTTTTTAAATTTAGGTGGATTGGTAGGCCGACCCGTTTAGCTCACCAAGCCATGGTGGGTGAATCAAGTTGAAAATTTTTGAACATCTCAATAGGTGGATTGAGTTAGACTAACCCACATAGAAAGAGGTTCAAACAGGTCGAATCAACCTATTTGAACAACCCTAATTTAAAGCTTTCACAAGTCTTAAAAGAATCTAATAAAAAATAAAAATTCCTTATAAATATTTATTTTTAAAAATAAAACAGTCTTTGAAATCAAATTTTTGGATAAGGATAAAAAAAATATTAACACACTACTACGATATTCATGAACAATTGTTTTTAATTAACTAAACAAATTATTATTATTTTTAAAACATGTATCTCATCTTAAAATAATTTAAAATATAATTAAGGAGAAAGAAAAAAAATTATGGATTTTTTTTATTTATTTATATATTATTATTATTATTATTATTATTATTATTATTAATTATTATTATTATTCGGCTTGACAAGAGTGGTTAATTTCTCTACTCCATAGTTATCTTCTAATGATAAAGAAGAATCAGAATTTATCTTTTTGTTGTTGTTGAAAATATAGCATATTGATTATTTTTATAAAATTTTAATATTTATGAAATGATACAACTCACATGTCCTAGAAATAGGATAAACAAATATGTCTCACTCAAATCAATTTTTTAGAATATTTTAATTTGTTTTTTTTAAGTTAATTTGTAATTAAAAAAAACGTTTTGAAACACTAAATTGTCATAACTTATACCACATAACTTTAAAATTAAGAAAATATCACATTTAATTAATTTATTATTTGTTAATTTTTCATTATTTATTATTGATTTATTATTTAATTTGATGAACTATGAAATTTTATTTTAATTAGAGATTGTAAAATATTTTATTTAAAAACTGTCTTAAAACTATCACGTCTTCATTAGTCGTGTCTTAAGAAAATTTTAATGATAAACTAAGAGAATGTAACGGCCAATCAATTTTTTTTCTTCTAACAATTGTACTTTCATTTTACCTTTAAATATAGAAGCTTGATTTTAATATTATGAAATATTTTGATTTTGTTCTTTCATTAAATGATGAAAACATATTCTTTTTTATCACACTTATATATGATACAAAATGAAGAATATATTTAGCTATTTTCAAAATTTAAAAAGAAATATATATTTTTCTATTTTTAATAAAACTGAGGTTCGATTAACTTTTTAAATCATTCAAAATTAGGTCTATTCATTTTATAACATATTTTATTACGTATTTGATTTCTCTTCAATCTCATTTTCACTAAAATATCTTTTTTTCTCTCTCTCTCTATCTCTCTCTTATCCTTTTCTATTACTCCACTAATCATATCTACTTTTTTTTTTTAATGTTTTTCTTCTTCCAATCTATTCTACCCGAAAATGGGTTAGATATGTATTTGACTTTTTTGGGTATGTTAAATAGTAGGATAAGATGGAAGACCGGACTTAGGTACGTTATTACCCCAATACTTTATAAGCTTCCTTTTTATTAGCTTCACATGGCGCGATGATGGTGACCCGTAAAAGTTTTCAAGGAAAAAGTCTGAAGTTCCTTTTCATAAATTACTATAGCGTACTTGCAAAATATATTTTGAAACAGAAAGCTTTGTTGGACAGTTACTAAGCGAGAGTTTCTAGTTCTTAACTTTTTATATACATGTTTTTTTATATTTTATTTTGTACTTTAATATACATTTGATAGATAATTTAAATTTGCTCATTAATTAAAAGATAACTAAATAAAATCAAGAAGTTCAACTGAATTTGGATAATCATCAATAGAAACAAGAATAATAATATTAATGCTGGACACATAAAACACTGAGGCCATACGCACATAGATGGCCTACTTTATTATTACAACAGAAGCGAGAAGAAGTTCATGCATAAATAATACATAAGACAAAACATAGAACGCAAGAAAGCGATTGAATGAGGCAGTGGTGGATTTAGTTTGGGAGATTTGCTTCCTTATCCTTTCTGAAGAGTTTGTGATGAATATGCTGAGCAAAAGTGCGAGGAGGGAAGAGTGCTGGTTCTGTTTCAGTGACAAGCTCAGGAAGTGGCTGAAGAATGATCTTCTCCTTCGGGGGTTCACAGAACACTGCCCACGATATTCTAACCTTTTCCTTGTTCACCAAACCCCTATGAAGAATGCTCTTGTACTTGCCGTTGCTCAGAATCTCAATGGTGTCACCAATGTGCATGAAAATCGAATCGGGCACGCATTTTGCTGTTATCCATTGCCCTTCGTGGAAAAGCTGAAGACCAGGCACCATGTTATGAACGAGGAAAGTGAGTGAACTTACATCGGTGTGTGCTTCAACTCCCAGAGCAAGTTCTGGCTGGGGACATATTGGGTAATAGTTTATCTTCAATTGAAGTAAAAGCTCTTCCATTCCTCCAACTTCCTTCTCTAGCCTCCCTCCTTCCAAACCCAATCCAACAGATAGTGCCTCCAGAATCTTGGTCGCAAGCACCCTTAGTCCCTTTGCATACTCGCTTGTAACCTCACTGCATGCATGCACCAAACATTATAAAAGTAAATTCTTTTTAATTAAATATCATTCATATCTTGTGTCGGGACTTAATTAATATACCTAACCTTTAACAGAAAAGATAAAGGGGAATTAATTGCTAGCTGGAATCAGCACGTAATCATTATATATTCACCTAAAAAGGATCTGCTAGAATCAATTGGAACCCCACAGGGTCTAATTGGTTAAAGCGCTTCTGATTAATTTTCGTACCAAACAAGTATTTTTTTCATATCAAAGATGCTAATATAGCGACAAATTCTGCAAAAAGTTACTCGGTATCTACTTAATAGAATATCATTGGACAGGTATTAAATTATAAAAACCAGCTCGTGTAATACGAATTGGCACAAACAGCATCTTGTTTTCACACCTTGTACTCTTTATATTTATTGATAGAGAGTAGTGGTGACTCCTGAGAGATATGATGATGATAAGTAGTTAGTATACTCACGTATAATCAGCAGGCGTTTTGGGCCAGATGGATAAGTCGCGTTTGTCCTCAGGGAAAATGAGGTGGAAGAAGTAATCTTCCCACTCGAGTTGGCCACTGGCATTGTTGGCGAGTTTGCTTCCATAGCCTTGAATCATGCCAGCAACCTGGTCATTCGCGTACTTCTCCTTTTCCTCAATGGGAAGTGCAAAGAAGGTTTCGCCAGCTTTCTTGAGACGGTTCAAGAGGTCACTGGGGATGCCATGGTTCACCAAGTTCATCACACCCCACTCTTCTGCGGCTCTTTTCAGCTTCTCAAGGCACTTGGCACGAACCAACTCATCCTCAGAGTCTATTTCTGTCAAGTCAATAGTTGGAACTTGAGGACCCTCTTTCTTTTCCTCCTCAAACACGTCCCCTATGCTACTCAACTCTTCTTTGGGTCTCACGTACTCCTTCGGAATAGACTGTATTTTGCTGCACGACAAGGTTTCAACTCTTGGAGTTGGAGCCAACGTCCCCATGTCTTTAATAATAATATTATTTAGTTACCAACTTCTCTCTCTCTCTCTCTCTATGTATCTGTAATGTACCCTTCTCCTTTACTACACTCTGAGCCTGAGGACCTGATTCCCCCACCTTAGCCTATATATAATTTGTTACCTTACTCAGCTACTGTAAGCTATGCTAGTGTACGGGTAATCACGTGCCCAGCTTCTCAAGCGGAAACTCAACGCTCGACCGTTGGTTAAACCACGTGATCCACACACCCAACTGCCTAACCCTCTCCTAAAATTCTTTTGCTTTAACTTTTCCACTAATTTGGCATTCTATCAACCTTAATCAACTTCCCTCGAACATTGCGTAAAACGGAAGTTAAATGCAAAAATCAAGTTAAATATTTTGGGACATCTAACAATTAATTTATTCTTCACATAACATATCCCAATATTAATTTCTTACTAAATAACTCATATTTTATATCATATTTTAATGTTTAAATTATTAAATTAAAAAAAATTTAATGTGTTGATTAAGTCTACAAGTTTTTAAAATTTTTGACAATTTAATCATTAAAACTTGGTATAAAGCATGAGTTATTAAGTGAAATAAATTTAACTATACTTACTATTGGAGAGTTTTTTCACTTTATAACTTATATTTTATATCAAAATTTATTGATCCAACCTTTAAATTAAAAAAATTTAATACATAGATCAAGTTTGTAAATTTTATAAAAAAATTGAAAACTATTTGATACTTTGTTACATAAGTTAAAATCAATGTATAAAATATTTTTACCGTCAATTTGAATTAATAAAACATAGTATCAAATAGTTTTCAATTAAAAAAAATTACGGACTTGATGTATACAATATGAACCTTTAATTTAATGATTGAACTATTAAAATTTTATGTGTAATATAAGTTATTTAGTGGAGTCTATTTTTATATATGTGTGTATGCACAATTAGTTTTATTTACCAAGCTTGATTTTCAATGCAAATTTAGTTTATTTGGTTTATAAACTGTGTTGAAGATTCCACATCAACTATAAATAAAGTCATAATAGTGTATATAAAAGAAAAATAAGTATCACTTTACAAGTTGATTTTGTAAGGTTGAATTAACACTTTCTTAAGATAGTATCAAAGTGTATCATAACCTATATCTTGGGATTTGTCAAAAATCTCACATCGACCAATAATAAAGTCATGATAATGGTGTATATAAGTGAAAAATAATTATTATCTTTTAAGTCAATTTTATAAATATTAAGTTAGACTCATAATTCACTTTCTTAAAACCAACACTAATATGTTAATTATTAAATTGAATTTTGATTCATTGATGACATGCAATGTTGTTGCTCTCATTTTTAAAACTCAAATGATAACAATGATTTTTCCTTAATTAGAATTATTTGTCAAAATGTCACACAAAATACTTTTAAGTATTCAAATGTTACACAACCATCTTACTCAAATCCCTAAGGTCATCCAAAATCTACTTATATACACATCGAGATGAACCTCAAAGAAAATGATCAATTCAAAAAATGTGATTATTGTTGAATTATTGGACATTCAAAAAATAAATGCCCACTGCAACAATTAGGATTTTGTTATTTTAATGTATTTTGTGTCTGAATAATAAAAAAATTTAAAAATTCATGTAATCATTTTTTTGTAATTTATATTATTTAAATTTAATTTATCCTTTAAATTTATTTTATACTTTGAATATTTTTAATAACATTATACTTTATTTATTTAAATATGTGTTTATATATATATTAAAAAAATATTTTTATCAATTAAAATTTAAAGTTAAAAAAAAAATGAAGACTTTTTAGAACCAATTCAAGATATAAAAGTGATTCTATTGAATTCACTATCATAAAAATTCTGAATATTAATCATTGTTTCATAAAAAAAATAAATTATACACATTAAACAAATTACACAAAAATTAACCTTTACAACAAATTTAAAAAGTTCAACTAAGTAAAATAAAATGTTTGTCTACAAGTTTTATAATTTTTTTATAATAATTTATATTTTAAAATAAATTTATAAAAATATTTAAATTTATGTATTTATTATTTTATAAATTATTTTATTTTAGTTTATTCTGTATTTTATTATTTAAAAAATATATTTTTACATATTAAAAATACATTTTTATAGACTCGATTTCTCGCTATATAAAATAGTGTGTCATGTTGAGGAATAAAAATGATCGTGAATAAAAATAATTATGTGGTATTTGAATGGTTAAAAGTATTTTGTGGCATGCAGACAAAAAATTATGATTTTTTATTACGTCATGAATTGTAATCAACGGATTATGCGTACCAGGCTATGTACAAAAAAAATAAAAGGATTATGGGTTCCAGTTCGCATTTATTATTTATAGAATGCTAAACAACTTTCTACATACTATCATTGCCATGTGTCCAATGCTTTTTAAGTTTTGGTTTTTTTTTATCATTGTATCCGTATAATTTATTCTTTATTCCAATTTTATAAGTTATAAGTGGTACCCTTTTTTGTAAATAAAAAATAACTAATTGATTTGGCCACTGTGGTTAAACATTTTTATATTATCTGTTTACACGATGTTTAACTTATTATGTTTTTTTTTTAATATTATATAATTTTATTAAAATATTATTTCATTTTTATTGATTTGATCATGATTCGGCCATTGATCAACTTAAATTATTTTTAATCAATTTAATGACTGATTTTAAAAATATTAATGTAATTTGAATGTGTGTTATGAATATAATTTTAAATAGTAATTTTATAAATTTAAAAGGCAAGAATAAATCTATCTGAAATTTAAGAAATAAAAAATATATTTTAATTTATTAAAAGAAATGACTGATATTCAAACAAGAGCACCCTAAAAAAAGATGGTAGATGACACTTGACAGACATGTGGTTATGCAATATGCACCAATGACTTTAATTTGGACGTACGTGATTGAAAGAAGTATTACTCTATTGGCCATAGAATATTAATTGTTAGACAGACTATGGAAATCTACGGTACTAGTACATTATCAACCATAAAAATAATATAGATTTGAACTTTATTTTTTTTTAAATGCGTTTATATATAAAAATATATTAACGACAACATAATTTTTATGTTAAAATAACAAAATTATTTTCTATTATCTATACTGTTAATAATCATTTTAACTTTTGTTTTACATAGACCATTTTATCATTTTTCATTAACTCAGAAATTTAAATAATTTTCTCTTTCTCAAGGTTTTTTTAGTATTAAACTACTTACTCTTTATAAGTAACTATTTACAGAATAAATAACTACTAACAATCATCTATCATATCTTTCAAATAATAATTTCTCATATTTTATCGAATGAGAAATAAATAATGTATTTGGTGGGAGAATGGCTGACAACGTGACAAAAATTACAAGCCATATATTCATCTTGAATGCGTGTTTTCATCCATCGTAGTTGTGTGGATAGCTACCTAACACTGAATATGTGTTGTCTTAGTCATTGCATTGCATATCCCTTTGCGCATGCGTGCTTCAACTAGGGATTTTATAAATTCAAAAAAATTTAATTTTTTTATATTTTAATTATTTCAATTTTAATTTTTATTATTTTAAAAATATTTTACTTAAATAAGTTAATTTTTAATTTTTAATTTTTTATTTTAGATATGATAATCTGATTTTATTGTGGTAAATTTAATTTTAAAAATATATTTATATATTGAGATTTTTAAATTAAACTTTATAAAAATAAATATAAATTAATTTAAAAATATTTAATCATTTTAAAAATTAATATTAAATAATATTTAATAATTTTAAAATTATTTTTAAATATTTAATAATTAAAATAATGAAGAGATAAGATAAAATATATAAATGGAATAAGATAAATAAATATAAAAAATTTTAAATTCTTAGTTTTTGAGAAAATTTAAAATTATATTATTTTAAAAAACAATTACAAATATTTTATAAATTTTTCATCCAAATAAAATATTTTACTTAAAAAAATTTAAATTTTTATAAATAAATAAATTACTTTATTTAAATTCTTCATCCAAATACATTAATGATAATAGTTGAAAGCTCAAATTATACACATTATTTTCATCTAACTTTCGATCAGAATTTTACAATTTTCATTTTTTTAACTCTGAAATTTAAATGAAACACGTGAAGGACGACGACATCTTCAAGTTCATAACCATGCGCACTTTTTTTTTTTCTTTCCAAATTTTCCCCTTCCTCACGTTTCTCCTTCACAAGCCCAACATGTGTTTGCTCATTTGTTTCGTTACCTTAAGTAGTAGATTCTATGTGGACTCATCAATAATATTAGGAGGACTCTAGGTCCAAAATGAAAAAACAATGAAATGCTTAAAAACAATTATTAAAAAGTCAAACTATTAAGATATTATTATATTTATTTTTAATCCGTGTAGAAGAGACCCTCCATGTCTTCGTATTTGTTTGAAAATTAGTGAATAATTAGAAAATTTTGAGTGGTTAATTATATTGGCAATATGCAATTATAGAACAAACACTATTAATAAATAGAAGATAAATATTTCCTTTATTAATATTATATATTATAATATTATTTTAATGTGTTAAACTCAATATCAAATAATAAAGTGATACTTGAGTTTGATTAGACTTTAATTATCACCTTGTTGAATTAAATTAGTCTAAGGTCAAGTCTTAAAATATTAATAAAAAAGTTTATAGATATATTATTTTATTTAATTTCTTTAGTTTAAGATAATAACACTTATAAGATCATTTTTAGCAACAATTTGATAATAAAATTGTATTCTCACAACCTGTCAATTCACCAATAAAGAAATATAAATATTTTATTTTGCTCTTTGATAATAGTATAACAATTTTATAATAGGTAATAATTTTTTTTTAAATGTTAATATTCCTCTTTTAGCTTATAAAAGTTCGTATATTAAAGTAGGTTGACACAAGCAGTACAAGATTTGGTCTAAACTTGTGTTTCTCATCATACAAATTTGACATTTCTTGTAACCATAAAATCTTATTTTGGTGAACATACCTATTCAAAAAGATCCTTGGTGCCAATGATGAAACTCTTTTGGTGAATCTCTAATGGCCCCCAATTCATGGAGTATAGTCCTAAGTCAAACTGAACACTGTTGGACTTCAACTAACAACTAAGTGAACAATGGTGTTTGATTTGAGGATCTCTAACATACATTGACTTTCTACCTCGTAATTATGAAAGTACCATCTCCTATCAACTATTTTTATACAAAAAAAAATATAAAAGTTCATATATATATATATATATATATATGTGTGTGTGTGCAATTGCGATTAAATAATCAATAATAGGAGATCAAAATCTTCATGTTACGCATCAACTTAAGTAAAATGGATTTCATAATGAAAATGGGCTTCAAATGTTGAGTATAACACAGTATTGAACATATATGCACAAATATGCAAAAAAAATTGTAAAGCAAAGAACCAAATAAGAAGATGAAGGAAAAGAGATAAAGGAAGAGAAGATAAAACATTTAAAATTCCTCTATTGTTATTGAATTGGGAGAATGATACAAGATGTTCCTTTATATAAAGTAAGAACCAATAAAACTAAAAATAACCGAAAAGCTGAAAAATAACAAACTTATAAAAATAGTAAAATTAACTTAACAACTAATTAAATAAGTTAAGATGGAAAATAAACTACAATATCCAATATCCCCTCAAGATGGGAGGAATATGTTAGGGAAAGGAACCTTTGAAAGAGTCTTGGTGAGAATGTCAGCCAACTGAAATGTTTTGTTACATGGATTAGTCTAATAGTACCTAGAGTTACATATTCTCTCAAACAAAATGTACATCAGTCTTGATATGCTTGGTCCTTTCACTGAAGGTTGGATTAGTTGCAATATATATACCAGCTTGGTTATCACAATATATCATGCTTGGAGATCTAGGAACATGAAAGTTTGTAAGTAAATTAGAAGTGACCTCATTGGTCATAAAGGCTAATGATTTGTATTCAGCTTCTGTGGGCAGTCTTCTGTCTCTTAGATTACTAGGAAATTAAGTTGCTTCCCATGAATATGCAAAAACATGTTGTAGATTTTTAAGTAAAAAGTCCAATTTAATTCAGATGTGTAGTATGAGGATTTGACACAAATTAATTCAATTTGTGTATTGCAAAACAAATGCCTCACCGAGATATGGTTAAATATAGGCAAAAATATATTTTTCATCCCTTATATTATTTATTAGTGTCAATTTAGTTTCACTTTAATTAATTGAATCAATTTAGTTCCACGTCTTTAAAATGTATCTTAATGTTTGACCATTTGTTTCCTCCATTTAAATACTTAACGGATGTGACACGTGTCATGTTAGCATATCACGTGGTATGACATGTGGCATAATGACATGACACGTGACATGGTAGCATGCCACGTGTCATGACACGTGTCAGATCTATTAAGTATTTAAATAAAGAAAATAGAAAGTCAAATATTAAGATACATTTTAAAGATGTGTGACGAAATTGATTTAATTAATTAAAGTAACACTAAATTAATACTAATAAATAATATAAAAGACGAAAAATATAATTTTACCTTAAATATAATAATTTAACAATGAGCCTTCTATATTGACCTGAATTAGATAATTTAGTATCAGACATGGCTGTAAGACTTCATGAATTTAGTATCAGATATGGCAGTAAGCCTTCTATCTTTTAAATCCTCCCATATGTGTTTTGCAGTGGTGGAAAATATGATACTAGCAATAATGGCAGCCAACAGCACTACTACATTAATAATCATGGCCTACCAATTTCTTTTTAGGTCAATAATCGTGTACTAATGATGACATTTTTTGGTGGTCATAATTTCTAAACCAAGGCAAACAAGAATTTATTTTCCTTTCTTCCCCAACCACGTTGTGCATCGTCATCGTCTTTCGTCTTTGGTGCCGACAATGCCATCATTTTCGATGTCCCCAACATCATCGTCTTCCTCAACAAACAGGACCAGGTTACACGAGGAGCTTCTCCAGCTTGCGGAATCGGAAGTTCGTGAGCTTCTTTCCTTGTACGAATTCCCCGACGATGATGTTCCCATCATTTCCGGTTCCACATTGCTGGTTTTGGGATGACAATGTTTCAAAAAGATTCTGGATGAGACTGCGGAGTTATTCTCACTCAAATCAATTTTTTAGAATATTTTAATTTTATTTTTTTAAAGTTAATTTGTTATTTTAAAGAAAAGTTTTGAGACACTAAATTGTCACAACTTATATGTTTTATAACTTTAAAATTAAGAAAATGCCATATTTAATTAATTTATTATTTGTTAAATTTTACATTATTTATTATTAATTTATTCATTAATTTGATAAATTTGAAATTTTATTGTTATTATACATTGTAAATTATTTTATTAAAAAAGTGTCTTACAACTACTACCTTCTCATTAATCATGTCTTAAAAAAAATTAAGAATAAACTTAGACAACATCACATCTAATTAATATTTTTTAACAATTGCACTTCATTTTACCATTAAATATAGGAGCTTAATTTTAATATTATGAAATGTTTTGGATTTAACAAAACCAAAAATTACACAAATTCAATACAACCGGTAAAATACAACCCATGAAATTTTAATTAGTCAAATCTAACCAAATTTGAATTTGGAAACATCCCTAATATTTTAGTTTATTTTTATTGTCACGAACTATAGAAAAATTATATCAACATAAAATTAAAGGTGAAAAGTTATTTTCTAATTCACGAAAATTTCATATTTACTCTAACTTTTTACTCTAACTATATGTAATTTTAAAAATATTAAAATCTAAGTAACCACATTTTAAAATTTAGTGAGAGAGTGAGAGATACCATTCCTCATTAGTATAATATTTCTAAGAATAGGATAGAATATTAAAGTTTAAAATAAGCTGGACAAAAAAGTATAGTTTAAATTTGATTTACGAAAATAAAATATAGTTATCTTACTTAACTCGGCAGGAAATTAATTAGGTGCATTGAGTTGGGTTATTAGAGGTTTTGTTGGGGCCACCTCTGGGCACATGATAAAGCCAACAGAGCATATCCACGTGGGCAGGAGTAGGGGAACGGGAGGTTTCAATTGGACACGTACATGATGCAGTTCACAAGACATGTCTGAAAACCTACGTGAAACGAAACAAAGTATTAGTATCCAAGAACATGATGTGAAGGAAAGGGAGAATAAGCCGTTGCACTTCCCTCCACACGTTCATCCTCGCCTTATCTCTTTCTTTCCATCCCCTCCCTCAAAATGCACAAAATCAGACCATTACCCATAAGCATACTTTGTGTTGCTAATCATGGCTAGCAAAATGGTCTTCACGCTCACAAGTCCATTCACTGCCCCTTCACCAACACTCTTCTCCTCCACTTCTGCTTCTCGACTCCACCTTCTTCAATTCACTGCCCGCCACTTCTGCCTTCGCCGCCGCTTATTTCTCTTTTCCCCCAAGGCCACTGCCGATCAAGGTCTTATCACTAACACCATGCATCTTCTTATTTCATACTACCACCTTTTAACTTTTTATTTTCTATATTTTCATGCAGGCAAGGTTGAGGAAGATGCTGTTGTTGATAGTAAAATCCTACCCTATTGTAGCATAGAAAAAAAAGATCAGAAGAAATCAATTGGTGAACTTGAGCAGGAATTTCTTCAAGCTCTTCAAGTACGGGAAACAAAAATCAAACTAGCTACTTCATTTTAATTAACTGCTGAATTTATTTTAACTTGTCCATGAACAGGCATTCTATTACGAGGGGAAGGCTATTATGTCAAATGAGGAATTTGACAATCTTAAGGAAGAACTCATGTGGGAAGGGAGCAGCGTTGTGATGCTAAGTATGGACAAACTTCACTCACAGTAGCATCAAATGAATTGTAACTTCATCTTATTTTTTGAGTTTGTTGATTCGCTTTGTAGGTTCTGATGAGCAAAAATTTCTCGAAGCGTCTATGGCTTATGTGTCTGGAAAACCAATCATGAACGACCAAGAGTTTGATCAGTTGAAACTCAGGCTAAAGGTTTGCTACTAATTCTCATTCTCATATGAAACTTGTACGCAATCATATATTTATTTATTTACTTACTTATAACTTATAAGATAAAACACATTTAAATTTAAATCATTAGTTAATTCTCTTTTGCTATAAACTTAATTAATTCAAACCTTCTAATGTTTAATGACACATGCTGTATTTTCTAGATGGAAGGGAGCGAAATTGTGGCTGAGGGTCCTCGGTGCAGTCTTCGTAGTAGAAAGGTATGTGTTAATATGTGTGGCCGTTTAAACGATTAAATCATTCAAATATTGAATAAAAACGTATATAAAAATATACTATGCACAAGCAAAACTCAATCTATTGAAAAAATAACAGTTCGAATCAAATTCTTTATCGGAATTTTAATCCCTTGCTGTCTAAGTAATTAATATAGAGTGCGCATGCAGCTTTGTATTTGTTTTATCTGATGTTTAGAATTATATGAAATAAAATGATTTTGACAGTTGATACAGAGCTTATGTTTTATTATAAAATAAAATAATTCGACAGTTGAAATTATCTACACTTTAAAAAATTATTGACCACAGTTATCCTCGTATCGGCTTGTCAAATTAGATCTTGCTTCTCAAGTGTAGTGAAAAAAGTAATTGTATCTTCTGTAGTCAATTGCACTTATTCTAGTAATAAATGATTCTCTAAATATTAAATTATAGATAGATAGATGGATATGCTTTTTCTTGCTATTATCAAGATATCTGTTTTCTAATTCGACATTACGCCATTGAGATGAGTAAAGGGCTCTGTTAAGATGTTTATTCCTTAATAATTGACATCCTTTTACAGGTTTACAGTGACCTGTCTGTTGACTATTTAAAGATGCTCCTGCTGA